TGCTGCTGTGTGCTTCCAGCCATTTGACCATGAAGGCTGAGCTCTTCAAAGGCTCAATATTCTCCCTTTTTATGATGAGTAAAACAGTGCTTCAATCCTTAGGGACATGAGGGAAGTGTAACATTAATGAGAATCAGGAGAAGTGTGGTCTTCATGTTGTTATTTCAGGTTGTTCCTCCCTGCCTTGCCTTGCTCTTTTTTCCTAAGCTTCTTTCCAGATGGAGTGTTAATTAGTGTAGGATATCCCCTGGGCTGAGCAAACCACTGGGTGATTCCATGAGTCAGGCAGGGAAGTGGAAGATGAGACCAGCACAACTCCCCATCCCCTTTCATGTATCCTACTTAGCTTGGCTCTCCAGAGAGCAGAGACCAGTCATTAATATCTTCAGGAACTTTGTAACTTCTCTGCATTTGCTGAGATCTTTCATTCCTGAACACGCAATTCCCTGTTGTACTAACCTTAGCTCTCCATTCCCATCATGTTCCAATATGGAGAAAACCAAATCAAACCATTCCTCTGCTTCTCCAATGGGCAGTGTGGGAATGGACACTGATCTCATGCAGCAGCATTGGAAAACTGTACAAATTGGGTGAAATAAACCCTGAACTGGTCCATTTCCCAGGTTGGAAATGACCTTTGAGATCATAAAATCATCAAGGTTGGAGAAGACCTCTAAGATCATCAAGTCCAACACTTAACCTGGAACTAGATCCTCCAGTGCCTCCAGGCACCTCTTCAACACCTCCAGGGCTGGTGACTCCACCACCTCCCTGGGCAATACTCCAGTGCCTGAACACCCTGACAGGGAAAACATTTCTCCTAACATCTAATCTGAGTCATCAAGTCCAACCTATGACCTAACCCCACCACGTCAGCTAGACCATGGCACCAAATGCCACATCCATTGCCACCAAGTACCAAAATCCCACTCAGATCCCAAGTTCTGCTCTCCTGTTCCACGTTACTGAACCCAACCAACACCTTTCTCTGTCCCAAACCACCTACCCTTGCTGGGATTGGATGAGAGAAGCCCAGAGGAGATGCTCCTTGCTCATAGCTTGTGCTGGTTGTGTTGTTGCAGCAACGTGGTGGAGAAGTGTGTGACCCACGCGTCGCGCACGGAGCGCGCGATGCTGATCGACGAGGTGTGCACTATGAACGACGGCCCTCACAGTGCCTTATACACCATGATGAAGGATCAGTATGCCAACTATGTGGTGCAGAAGATGATCGATGTGGCAGAGCCAGCGCAGAGGAAGATTGTCATGCACAAGGTAAGCAGCTGCCATCGAGTGAGAAGGAGGGAGAAGCTTGGCACTGTCACGCTGCATGAGGACAGAAAATGAGGCAGAGGTTTGTTGTTTCCAGGAGTTTCCTAGTGTTGGGGTTGAGGAGTTCAGGAGAAGCTGAAATATGAAAGTCATAGAACAGTTTGGGTGGAAGGGAGTGTCAGAGCTGATCTTGTTCCACTCCCTGCCATGGGCAGGGACACCTTCCACCAAC